CGTCCAATCACAGAGCAGTATTTCTTGACTCACTTGGTTGAGCATAAGTAGTAAATGTTATGCATTACAAAGGTATAAAGTAACAAAGGCAATACATATTTAATTACTGTAATAATTATATAAATCTCGTAATTATCTTAATTTTGCAAATTTCATCAATTTTATATACCATAATATCGTCCAATCACAGAGCAGCATTGTTCAGTACACTTGGTTGAACATTGAATAAATATTATACAGTACTAAGATATAAAGTAAAAACTTCAAGAATATTTTAATGAGTGTAGCCACTATATATACACGTCGTAGTTATCATATTTCACAAAATATAATTAATTTTACATACCATAATATAACAGCAAAATGGAATTTGATCAAAAAGGCAACCTTTCAAAATGCATTGGTGAAACTATAACAGATACATTGTGATGTATTTCAGATAGTCATTATTAATTCAAACGAGAATTATGAAACCATTAAAATGACTGAATATTATGTATTTTAGGAAAGTAACCTTATTTCACAAGTTTCGTTTAAAATAAGGGACTTACAGAGGCATCTATATTTTTTTTACGAGAAACCTGGTGGCCATACTTATAAATTTAACATGGAATTTATAGATGGCGTTAGTTAACGCCCAATTATATTGACTATAAAATATAAATACTACCTATCATGTGCATCACATGTGTAGCACTTGGGAAAAACGTGAAAATGGGATGAGGATTTTTGAAAATAATTTTTCTGTCCATGAATGTAACAATATATATGTATATACCAATTTCAACAAATTTGAAAAAAAATTGCACGTGAGGGGTCCATTTCTGATTTCGAGCTGCAGAGGGAACGTGTTAAACAGCTTCTCATCCGTAAGGCAGATTCCCTTAAGAAGAATGAAAGCAAGAAAGTCTAGGGATTCTTCTTTGTAAATAAACATTTGTGTAGATTATCATTTGCAATATTTATTTCAAATATCCTTGATCGAAACAACCTCCAATAGCTAAATGCGGTCACTGCCATGGATTTACATTATCCAAGTTCTTAAATAACCTTTACAGAAGCTGTAAGTAACCTTTAGTATAAAGTATCGAAAAATTTCTTTGGCTCGGTGGGACTTGAATTGTAGCATTCCTCTTACCAACTGAGCCACAGGTCAAGTTAACGAGCTGTTGAAATTCTCCCATGACTTTTTGTCATAGATCTTTCTACTGGCTTTCGGCATTCGTCACCTCTAGTGATATCTAGCGAGAGATTTTTAAAAAGCCTTTTCACCGCAGCCCATCTTTACAGATGCCTCAACTGACGTAGATGTCGCATTTTGATCGAATGTTTCATTGGATTTTTTTAATAACTTACAAATTTTTTATTTAATAAAAATCTCGTGAATGTTAATTTTGAATGTCAACCGGAATCTTATTATATATTCAGCCGATTCCGCTTTAACTAGTGTGGTGATCCCCTAATTAGTGATAATCATTCATTTCACCTTCTCGTAGAGGTTCTACGACGATGTAATAGGGGTTAAAGTATGAAATTGCCGATTTGTACTGAAAATCTAAATTGTTTATTTTTTAAATTTTTAACAAATTTATTTCATCAAAATAGTTGCCATTATTATCTATACATTGCTGCCATCTAATGGGAAGGTTATTAATGCCTTTGCGATAGAACTCCGACGATCTAGACTGCACAAACTGTGTGAAAGCATTTTGTACTGCCTCCTGGGAAGAAAACTTCTTGTCACGTAGATAATTGTCCAAATCACGAAAAAAATGGTAGTCCGTTGGAGCAAGGTCTGGTGAATACGGAGGATGACGAATGGTTTCTAACTGCAGTTCCTGAAGGGTCAAAATGGTTTCTCGTGCTATGTGAGGTGTCGCGTTGTCGTGGAGCAATAATGGTGAAGATCGATTCATGAGTCGGGGCTGTTTTACTGCTAGTTTTGTCAACATGGTTCGGAGTTCGGCACAATAGACATCTGCCGTTATTGCTTGACCAGATCGGAGAAAACTATAGTGAATAACACCATGCTGAGACCACCAAACAGTTACCATTACCTTTTTATTGGTAAGTTTTGCTTTAGGACACTGTTGTGGCATTTGACCTGGGGTCAGCCATTGCATTTTTCTTTTCCGGTTATCATAAAGAATCCACTTTTCATCACATGTTACAATTCGATCCAATATTCCTTCATTTCTGTACCGGTTCAACAAGGCAACACAAGTTTCAACACGCGTTTCTTTCTGCAGATCAGTCAAATCATGAGGCACCCATTTTTCGTATTTTTTTATTTTATTGGTTTGACGCAAGTGAGTCAATATTGTGGGTAAGGTAACGTTAAACCATGCCGCTAATTCCTGGGTAGTTTGACTAGGATCGGCTTCCACTATCTCTCTTAATTCATCGTTATTCACCTGTGTGGGCGGTCTTCCTCGTGCCTCGTTCTTTAAGTCGAAATTTCCATCACGAAAGCGTTTAAACCAAAATCGCATGGTGCGTTCATTAGTAGACTCCTAGAAAGATGGATACTGCGAAAATTCGAGTGATTTTTGAATACGAGTTCCGACGCGGTACTAACGCGGCAGAAACAGCCCGCAATATCAATGCTGCGTTTGGAGAGGAGTCTACTAATGAACGCACCATGCGATTTTGGTTTAAACGCTTTCGTGATGGAAATTTCGACTTAAAGAACGAGGCACGAGGAAGACCGCCCACACAGGTGAATAACGATGAATTAAGAGAGATAGTGGAAGCCGATCCTAGTCAAACTACCCAGGAATTAGCGGCATGGTTTAACGTTACCTTACCCACAATATTGACTCACTTGCGTCAAACCAATAAAATAAAAAAATACGAAAAATGGGTGCCTCATGATTTGACTGATCTGCAGAAAGAAACGCGTGTTGAAACTTGTGTTGCCTTGTTGAACCGGTACAGAAATGAAGGAATATTGGATCGAATTGTAACATGTGATGAAAAGTGGATTCTTTATGATAACCGGAAAAGAAAAATGCAATGGCTGACCCCAGGTCAAATGCCACAACAGTGTCCTAAAGCAAAACTTACCAATAAAAAGGTAATGGTAACTGTTTGGTGGTCTCAGCATGGTGTTATTCACTATAGTTTTCTCCGATCTGGTCAAGCAATAACGGCAGATGTCTATTGTGCCGAACTCCGAACCATGTTGACAAAACTAGCAGTAAAACAGCCCCGACTCATGAATCGATCTTCACCATTATTGCTCCACGTCAACGCGAGACCTCACACAGCACGAGAAACCATTTTGACCCTTTAGGAACTGCAGTTAGAAACCATTCGTCATCCTCCGTATTCACCAGACCTTGCTCCAACGGACTACCATTTTTTTCGTGATTTGGACAATTATCTACGTGACAAGAAGTTTTCTTCCCAGGAGGCAGTACAAAATGCTTTCACACAGTTTGTGCAGTCTAGATCGTCGGAGTTCTATCGCAAAGGCATTAATAACCTTCCCATTAGATGGCAGCAATGTATAGATAACAATGGCAACTATTTTGATTAAATAAATTTGTTAAAAATTTAAAAAATAAACAATTTAGATTTTCAGTACAAATCGGCAATTTCATACTTTAACCCCTATTATTTACGTCACACGTGTAGCTGAAAATTGTATGAACTAAGTACCTATTATATATATTGTAACGTTATACCTCTTAGCTTCGTAAATCGACTACAATCACAGTGACTTAACGGACATGCCTGAGAATGCCAACACGATTTTTCCATTTAAACTTTATAATATTCTTTAGCGCTTTTAAAAAGGTGTAGTGTAACATTAAGCTATTGTATTCACTTGTGGTAGTCGTTAGATTTGGCAGCTCCGTTCATGGCTTGTTATATAAAACGGTTGTTACATATTTTATTAATTTATTGAAGCTATTAGCGCAAAAGTGATGTACCGCTTTTTTTGACATTATTTTATATTAGGATGCTATTTTCACGTACGTATAAAAAAAAATTGTTAAATATTTTTTACACATGAAAATAGCATCCAAAACAAATAGCAGTAAAGCACCTTGCGAAAGAGTTCGTCTAGGGAAGCATCGCCACTGCACCTATTTCTGCCGCCAAACGGTAATGTGTACATTACTGCGTTCCGGTTTTGAAGGGTATGGATGCTGGTGTCAGTAATTTTCCTGACACATGGGACATGTCAATTTAAATCTCAAGGTAACGGGCGTAGTGACAGTGCCCCTCGGTTCTCTGCGATTTAAAGCTTTGACTGGCACTACAACTGGTATGGACAGGCGTGTCGGTTACGACCAGTTGCACGACTTCTACCCGATATTTGGTATCTTAAAAATTAATTTAAATTAATTATATAAAAAATTTAAAAAAATTATTAAAATAAATTATTATAAAAAAAATTAATTATAACTGTATACTGTAGTACCATTAAAAGTAAATATGTAGAAAAAAAGTACATAGGTTACATCACCTTTGCGTTGATAGTCTCAATTATTATCGATCTCTAATTAAAAAATGTTTTTACAGTTTGAATGATTTTTTTTGATTATAAGTTGTTATTAATGTTAATAAATATTAATGAAATTAAATTAACGTAATAATTAAATAATATGCTTTTTAGTTTATTTTGATTTTATAATTAATTTGTACTTTAAACTGTACTTTCAACATTGTACGCCCGTAGTGAGTAGATTGTGAGGACTGTAATTATGTTCATAAGACCTTAATGTTCGCCACATTCACACAATAAATGAATTCTATTCTATTCTATTATATTATATTCTCTTATATGTCCTAAAGCGTGAAACACACTGGCAGCGGTTGCGGGTCGGGCGCGTGTCGGTTCGGGTGCACGGGGGGTGTAATTCCGTGTATTTATATGAACGACAACACCACGCGCACACGCGGGACGGGCAAAGGTCGGGTCAGGCGCCCGGCTCGCAACCGGTCTCTGTGTATTTCACGCTTTATGATACGAGCTTTTTTTGCAACAGGTTCGAATGGTTCAAGGACTTAGATTTAAGGTGGTACGCGGTGCCAGCCGTGTCCAACATGAAACTGGACTGTGGAGGATTGGAATTTACAGCAACTGCATTCAACGGGTGGTACATGAGCACCGAGATCGGGTGCCGGAATCTTTGTGACACTTATCGGCTAAATGTTACTGAGGTACCCTTTGTTTTATTATTCCGAGAGCATCCTAAAAGTGACGTTTTTACTTTAAGGTACTCTCTTAGATATTTAAGAGTACAAATCTTTTCATACAGACAGGTTGAATCTCGTTAGAGTAAGGCCACAAGTAGTTATATTTAACTGAAATATAGACTATTTAACTTCGTTAGTAAAATATCACAAACAATCTTTACCATTTAAAGCTGTAATTAATGGCACTGCAACTGCCGTGGACAGACGTGTCGCTTTTTTTCATAATGTCAAATGACGGGACGAACAAGTCGTGTGCCTCATGGTAAGCCACACGCCACTCCATAACAGTTGCAGTGCCACTCAGAGCTTTAAATCGCAAAGATCTGAGGGGCACAGCTACTGTGTCCTTCACCCCGAGACATAGGTTGACAAGTTTCATGTGCCTGTAATTTCACAAGCACACTTACCCTTCAAAACCGGAACGCAGTAATGCTCACATCACTACTTCCCACCAACCACTTCCCACCAAGCGTTTAAGCCGTTCAGTTTTTAACTTTATATAAAAATCTCACGTATACTAACGCACATGTAGTGTAATATCAAATTGAGAACGGTGACGTGACGCATTGTACGCATTGTACCGAAAAATTTTCGTTCTCCTAACATCAATGTAGATATATTCGAAAAGTAAAACCTCATTTCTTATTCACTCTTATACATATTTCAGAAAGTAGCAATCAAGATGGGATTAGACACAAACTCCTACGCAACCCTTTGGAAAGATCGAGCTTTGGTCGAAGTAAATGTTGCAGTTCTGCATAGTTTTCACAGGGACAATGTGTCCATAGTGGATCACCATTCAGCATCTGAACAATTTATGAAACATTTGGAAAGCGAGAATAAAACGCGGTAAGTAAAACACTGTCCAAGACATGGTTTTAAAGAAATGTTCGAGATTGAGGAGAAATGAAAATCTTTACGATATCAGTTTTTATAAATTTTTAACCGACATGGAAAAATGAGGAGGTTCTCAATTCGTTCCCTTTTTGTGTGTGTGTGTGACACGCGATTACTCCGACACTTGGGAACCGATTTCGATGATTCTTTTTTATTGGAAAGGGAGTACCTCGGTAGGTAGTGGACCTATTAACAATTTGAAGAAAATGTTCCAACTCTAAGGGTGGCAAATTAGGGGATGAACCCGCTCTATTGAATTACATCCACTTTCCGGTACAAAATTTCAATAAAACTTGCCACATGTATGCAATTTCAATGAAAATAAAACACAGCAATAACGCATAAACAAACTTTTGAGATCGGTTTTTTTTATAAAAAAATTGTAATTTGTTCTCGGATTCTGTCAAAATAAACGTCATAAGTTTAGATATTTATATCCATAGTCTTTGTATTTCATAATTAATATTTTAGGCGCGGATGTCCTTCAGATTGGATTTGGATAGTTCCACCGATGTCATCATCACTAACTCCAGTGTTCCATCAAGAGATGGCTTTGTACTTTCTCAGACCCTCTTATGATTATCAGGTAAGCTCTTGAACATTCAATATTCTCGTGTTTTCAACACTTTCATAAAATTTGATTAAATATTACGATGAATTTTCAAGGGTAACTTAAGTTTTTAATTTCAGGATAAGTAGATATAAGATTGATTTATTAAATACTAAATAATTATATTCAGGAACCCGCTTGGAAAGTCCATCAATGGAAGAAGGCAGATGAAACGAAAACTACAAACAGAAAGTTTCACTTTAAGCAAATCGCTCGCGCTGTCAAGTTCACTTCTAAACTATTCGGTAGGGCTCTATCTAAGCGCATCAAAGCCACAATCCTTTATGCCACCGAGACAGGCAGATCTGAACAGTACGCCAAGGAGTTAGGCGCTATTTTCGGCTACGCTTTCAATGCGCAGGTCAGTGTCGTTGTTAAAAGTGTTTTACCGTTGACAAAGCTTGAGCCACAGGGGAGTTGCAAGTTTTAATGGCCACGCTAACAGACGGATAATGGTTTATAACTGTCAACAGGTACACTGCATGTCAGAATATGACATGTTCTCGATAGAACATGAGACTTTGCTGCTGATTGTAACTTCCACGTTTGGCAATGGTGAACCACCGGATAATGGGCTTGTAAGTACAAATTAACTGACATTCAGATAAATTATTAATAAATATTTGAAGATATTAAAACAAAACGCATCTTTTCAGGACTTTGCTGAACACCTGTTCCAAATGTTGTATAATGACAAAAAACATCATGGAGATCAAAGCGGAGATTTCTTAGGGTAAAAACCTGTAATATCACATGGTCAAGACGCGTCAACATTGAGTATATAACCAGAAATAGAAACGAAATGTCTACTAACTTGTTTGAAAACTATTCTGCCAAATTATTGCGGTAACCTGATGGGCCAGCCCGAATTCGAAACTATTGATGGGTGTCGTCAATTGTTTAACTTCATATTGTCCAGTTTAACTTGAGCTTTGCTATAATGGACAAAAATTGCAATATTACATATTTAATATTTAATTACCGATAAAATGTGGTTCCGTTTATTTTGTAATTAGATGATTTGCTGTTTTTTCCACACCAACGAATGGAACAGTGCCCAGTATTATCTTTATTACAGTAAATACAGAATATTTTTGGAATATACGGAGACGTACACACAGGTTAGTTGTTGGCGCTGTACTATTCCAGCTTTCTAATTTGTGATTTCAGCGCAAACGAGAGTTGATATTTAAAAATGATGTAAGACCCATTTGCCTAATGAGTTGCCAGGGATGGATGGCCCGTATTTCGTCTCTATTTCTGGTTATATACTCGATGCGCGTCAAGCTTGACCTTAAGATTTAAATTCAACTTTACTTCGTCTGTTCATAAGTCAGAGACAAGCTTTGACTTAAAAAAAAAAAGAAATATATTGGCAGCGGTTAAATTCTTTTTTCAATTTTGAATTTGGAGTGTCCATGTTCTATTTGCAGCTTTTTAAATTATTTTCTTTATTTTTCTCTTGATGGAGGGAATAAAACAGAAAAGAGTAATGAGCGACTGCAATTTCCCTACTTATGGCAGGAAAAAACCAATGAACATTGTTAAGAGAAAATTACTCGAATTTGCTTAAGAAAGAATTTACGGGGCTTTGTCGCGGCGGGAGAATGGCCACTCTCCAGTCCTGATCTTAACCCACTTGACTATCCTCTGTGGACTGAACTGAAGGTCAGTGCCTGCGAAAAGTGTCGCTCAAACTAGGATTTTAAAAAGCGGGCCCTCATCAAGGTAGCGAAACAAACCCCACTGGAGTAGATTCGTGTCGCGATCCAAGATCGGCCAGAACGTCTAAGAGCTTGTATTAGATATAGAGGTCATTTTGAGTAGTAATTGCTTGTAGTCGTTGTTTAGTGTAGGTATACTTATCATTATCTGAAAGTTTTAAAAAAACTAGCCTAGATTTTAGGAGGTGAGGTGGGCTGTCACCCCTCGCGTTCCACAATCCACGCACTCAAAAGTAATATGTATAAAATAGTAGCACACAGAGAAAATTTGTCACAGATACGAAGTTGACAAGCGTCCGATGGCGACTGACGGGGCAGCGGGCGGCGCTGGGAAATTTGCTAATTTTTTGGATAAATGTGAATTTAATAACTAGAGGGCTTCAGTTGAAAAACAAAATTTAGCAGGTTCCGGGTACTTAAAAAGAAATATCTCCATAGAAAAAATATGTTCAAAGTTAAATATTTTATTATTAAATAATCGTTTTAGACTTTTATTTTAGCCTGTTTTCAGATTTTTATATCGCACTGATAATACAATAGTTTATTAACTCAAAAAGTGGACTTTCTCAGAATGGATTAAAAACTAATTACTCACTTCCCGCAAAAAATCATTAAAATTTATGTATATGTTATAGTTTATTATAAACAATTAATTAAACAATGTCCCAAATAGATTTAAAAATAATTACATATTTTTAATAAGGATTATTTTGGCCAGAACTAGCTCACATAAAGTGTACTTCATTTTGAGATATCTTTTGATTGTTTATTACAATATTCTACTGATGGTTTTTTTGACGTGTAGAGAATCAAATGTTACGTTCAGTAATGATATAATATTAAATTTCACATATTTTGAGTTACAACACTATTGTAATAGCAGTGCGATATGATCGGATAAAGTATATCCTATCGTGTAACAAATTAGCACATTCTTTAGACTATGTCCTTAAATGTGTCGTGTATTTTTTGTAATTTAGTACTAAATAACTAAACCATTTCATCTAGCAAAAGAGTTTTTCCCACTTCTCCTCCGATGGCTCGCCTTAATTCTTAAAAAAATTATGCAATTTTAGTTTCGTCTCAAAACTTATGAACATACGAAGTATATTGCTTGCGATATGTAACTTCTAACGTGCAAAGTGTCAAGATAGATAAGTTCTTAATTTAGTTCTTTAGCAATATGTACTGTTTCTCATTTGCAGAAATCAAAAGTTGCCGACGCCAAAATCGCTAATGCGGACGAACAGTGTTATGACTCCAAGCTTTGAATACAAACGACAGCTTAGTCGCATGGAATCTAACAAAAGTACGTACATACTCCCGCAAATTTTGTATTACAGTGTACCATAGCCATTATATTTTGATTTGGTGGAACAAAAAAGAGAATACAAAATAGTAACGTTTGTATTAGTTTATAATAGTTAGCCTATATAAGTCCCATCGCTGTGTACAGGCCTCTTCTTACAATGAGAGGTCTTGGGCCTTTAGTTCACACACATCATTCAATTGCTTTTGCAGATGTGTGGAAGATTCCACACGATGTTTTCCTTCACCGAAAAGTTCAACGTACAAATAAAATTTCGCACATAAATTCCGAAAAAATCAGAGGTGCAAGCGTGGTTTCGAATCCACGACTCTGTTCTTAAAAGGCGGCTGGACGAACCTATAGGCTACTTCGGCAAAAACATGTATTTAGGAAATTAAAATAAATGACTGTCGAGAATGTTTTTATTTTCACATTAGACTAGTGATTGAAAAAGAACACTGAATTGCTTTGTGTGTTTATGTACTATTCCTCTATGCATGCAGCTAATAAATAACACATACAATGTCATAATCATTATTATTTTCTTCGTAAAATATTTCATAAAAAAAATAAATGCGCATTTGATGAGATCGACAACGGAGCATGCACCTAAATAAAGACTATTTATTCACTCTCGCCTTGAACAGGCCCAAGTTATAGCGTTTAGGGAATAAGTATGCAGGCAGAGAATTCTATTCCATAGCCGTTCGTTATATAAATATGCCACCGCATTTGTAAAAAGATCATATTTTCCAGGTAGTATTGCTGCAGCATCGTCAGTAGAGCACATAGGACCGCTAAGTAATGTTTGCTATGCGGTGTTTGCGCTAGGCTCCAGTGCATATCCAAAGTTTTGCAACTTCGGCAAGACCGTAGACAAAATACTTTACGAGTTGGGAGGCGACAGGATTCTCGATGTGGCTTGCGGTGACGAATTACTCGGACAGGAACAAGAGTTCCGACAATGGTCTTCGAAAGTTTTTCACGTAAGTCTGAGCATCGTGGAATGTACTTTTATGTTCTTACATCACCTTACATATATAAGTTTCAACGGTTTGTACTACCGACTCTGGACGAGGACCTGATCTCGATTCCCGGTGGAGACAATTTGGGAAATTAACTTCTCTAAATTTATTTTAGTCTGCGTGTTATGGAAAGTGCCCCGGAGTGAATTCCGTTGCTTTTGTTCTTCATAAGAAAAATACTATAAGTACACAATGTTTTCTGGTTTGAAACTAGATAGATTAGTACGTTGTCTGGCACTTTGTATTTGAAATATTGAAAAGTCGCCCTGGTATAGCACAAACACAGGTTTTTCCTTATGTTCGATCTTTCATGTTAATATTACAATCAATATACAATTAACAAAGCGGCACATGCTGTCAACCTCTGATAGCTGTAAAAGTACCTAGTTAAGTGAAGAAAAAACTTTCATAAATTTCTGACAGATAACAGTACGGCAAAAAAATCCGTTTTTGTGTCCGAATTTAGGTACATTTATTTGGTACGAAATTTGACTGGATTAATTAACAAATACCCGCCATTCTGATTGTCATTTGTAATTTCAATACACAATTTTCTTTAAAGGTGGCCTGTGAAACATTTTGTTTAGATGAAAATGATAGTGTGAAAGATGCAAAGAACGCTTTGGGGACGATGCCGCTGACAGAAGAAACGGTGAAATTCGCAAAGACAAGCGAAGCACTTCCATTGAAGACTGCACTGGAAACCGGATTTAGAAAACATTTGTTGCCCTGTAAAGTCAAAGAAACCAAAAACTTGATTAAATCTTCTGAGGAAAAAAAGACAATATTCGTTGATCTGCGAATTAACGTAAGTATACATACATATTGTATAAAATACAGAGTATCCTAAAAACAATATTGTGCTATATTATAATAACAGATGTACTAGCGATATCACACTTTCGTACATGTGTCCCTTATTAGCAGTAAAGCTCCTTGTCAAAGAGGTCCAGGGTAGTACTGCCACCTTACCTATTTTTGCTGCCAAGCAGTAATGTCAGCATTACTGTGTTCCGGTTTTGAAGGGTAAGGATTCTGGTGAAATCACAGGCACATGGGACTTATCAACATATGTCTCAGGGTGCTGGGCGGAGTGGAAGTGCCCCTCAGGTCTTTGCGATTTAAAGCTCTGAGTGGCATTGCAACTATTATGGACAGGCGTGTAGCTTAAAATCAGGCGCACAATCTTGTTCGTCCCGTTATTTGATATTATAAAAAAAACATTGACGTGTTCTTTAAACAAAATTAAGTACAGACTCAGCTTTATTACGTTTTTATTATATTTGTATAGAAGTACAAATTACATTCAACTGTTTTTACTCTACAGGATGAAATAAAGTACGATCCTGGTGACCACGTCGGCGTAATGGCTCGCAATCGTAAAGAAATTGTCGATACAATCCTAGAGCACTGTAAGGACGTTGACCAGTTTGACAGACCTGTACAATTGCAAATTCTAAAAGAAACACTTACACCTACAGGTACGACCATTAGAATTCTAAACTATGTTACTTTAAAACTATTCCATTAAATGAGGTTATCATGGATAAATAATCTTTTTTTTTCTGTTTAGGCACTGTAAAATCTTGGGAGTCTCATGAAAGAATTCCACCAACAACTATTCGAGATATATTCACAAGTTTCCTCGATATAAGTACGCCACCATCAACCAAAATATTGAAGTATCTCGCAAAGGTTTGCAGTAATGAAAAAGAGGCTGAAGAGATCAAAGAGCTAATCACGGTAAAAGATTGCAGTGCATAATTAAGACTATTAATTATGTGTTCAAATCCTAAATATTTGTTTTTATTGACAGGACCCTAATAAATACGATGACTGGCGTCATTTCCACTACCCTCATTTAGCAGAAGTACTACAACAGTTCCCTTCATGTAAACCTCAAGCATCTCTACTTGCTATCTTGCTTCCGCCATTACAGCCAAGATTTTATTCCATATCGTCTTCGCCATTGGCACACAAGCAAAGTATTCATCTCACTGTAGCTGTTGTCACTTACAAAACACAGAGTAAGTAATCGTATAATTAAATACCTAACACTGAAGTAAAAATACTTACTACGGGAATATAATGTCTTGTTTCTTTCAGACGGAAAGGGACCGACACATTATGGAGTGGCATCGACATATTTAGAAGCTTTACAACCTGATGATGATGTTCTAGTTTTCATTCGAAGGTAGCTACGAAAACGATGTAAACTACACATAATGAATAATATATTGTTTAAATTAACTAATCATAAATCTACAATTACGTTGCAGAGCTCCCAGTTTCCACATGCCAAAAGACATATCAGCTCCACTGATTATGGTTGGCCCAGGTTCAGGTATAGCGCCATTCAGAGGATTCTGGCATCACCGCAGATCACAGATGAAATCTTTGGAACCAGATGCTCAGAAACCTGGACCGATGTGGCTGTTCTTTGGATGCAGACACAGTGATATGGAATTGTACAAAGAAGAAAAAGAGGAAGCACTGTCTGATGGAGTTCTTACAAACTCATTCCTGGCTTTGTCAAGGAAAACTGAGTGTAAGACTGTAAGTTACTTTTTGTATTACGTATTTGGTAATATCATAATATTGACTGGTAATACCATTGACTTACAAATAAATGGACGACGGGTCTAATACAAAAACCACGAAAAAAATGTCCCAAATCAACCTATTCGAAATTTAAATTGTTATGTCATCGCAGTATCGCGCTGTCCGTAGAACAAATGAAGACTAAAGCGGAGTGTCGCGCTCTGTATACGATTTTAGCGCCTTACAAGTGCGGACACTTTTTAGCGCGGACCCGACGTCCATATAATTGTAAGTCAATGGGTAATACAGTAAAATATGGATCTACACGAAACATAAATAGCCCATATGACTTACAATTACTACCTCTTACAGAAATACGTTCAAGATTTAATAGCAGAGAGAGGTCCAGAGATTGCAAGCATGTTATTAGATGAACAGGCGCATTTTTATGTATGCGGTGATTGCAAGATGGCTGAAGAAGTACAACAGAAACTCAGACAAATTATGAAGACACATGCTAATCTCAGTGATGAGGAAGTAGAAAATTGTATACTGGAAATGATGGTAAGCTTCAACGTTGGCTCTAGATACGCGGCAGAGTATGTACATTAGAATAACTAGAAAGCGAGAAAAACTGATAGAAAGAAAGATAAATAGTTTGACCAAATGATGACAAAAATAAAATAGGATAAGACGCAAAATAAAAACAATTACATTTAAAACATCACCAAAATTTCCACTCAGCTTTTTGTAACAAGACATTCGAAAACGCCTCGTTACGCTGGTTTTCAGTAAAGCCGAATAAATGATAAAGATGATGTCGCTTCATTCGAGTAAAATGTAGAGAAAAATAAATTTAACTAAGTGGAATTCAAAAGTAAAAATGCGAGCGTAGAGTAAGTGGGGTGGAATATAATAAAATCAAAACCTAATTGGGTGTGTATTGTCTATGTAATGTATTTTCATGTATTTGTACTTGGGACATTAATGCCAGTAATAAAATGGCTCAGATTACACGTAAATACAGCACGACTACCAGTGCTGTTAGATACCTGAGAATAGTAAAAATTTCTTAAAAAAATATTTGAAGGAGAAAACAGACTTGCAATTTTGTTATTGGCATGTCGTTCCAACATTTCGTGGCAGCGAATCAGAAGCCAATTAATAATCGTAAACAAATATTATAATGTAACTCATTAATCAAAATATGTAACAAACTTGACTATAGGATATAGGGTTCTGTACAAATCAATTCGTAGAACCATCCAAACTGATATTATAAATGTGAAAGTGACTCTGTCTGTCTGTTACGTTTTCACATCTAAACCATGGAACCAATTTTGATCAATGGCAATAGACATGGCAAAATCTTGTCACAGAAATAAATCTTAAGCCGTTTTAATAATAATAATAATAATAATAATAACGTTTATTGCAAAACATGTTGTTACATAATAGTTCTTATAGTAGTTTACAGTATCAAACATGTACCCTGTAAGGGCGTAGCAATGTCAATTTTTTAAATACAAATTTTGATTACCATTAATTAAAATATCTTTATAATGATAATTAAATCTAAACAAATATTTTCTGAAAAGTCAATGAATTAATTGGAAAATAAATGTCAAATTGAAGTCTAAGGTATTTCAAAAAATTAATCGTCAAATTTTCCCGACTTATCGGTGTGGCAACGGTTTGAACAGGAGCTGGAAGGGATCGTTTCGTACCGCGTCAATCAGGAAGTGCATATTGAAACATAGGCGCTTGGTAAGCTTTCGGTACTGCGTATATCAGGCGTACCGATACCGCACCTCTGTCACACCGACAAGTCAGGGGGTACAAATTTGTATGGAAATAAAGCTATGAAACTTAATATAGTACAATAGGCTATTCGAAGTACTTATTCTATGTTTGGCTTGTAGTGGCGTTAAATGGCAGTGGAGGGAGGGAAGGGAAACCTTTGCTTGCAATGGGATAGTACCAACTGAAAAATGGAATGTAGCACAAATAAAATAAAATACTCACCAACCAAAGGTCTTAAAACAAAAGTCGTTACTTTTAATGTACAGGATAAGCCTCTCCATTGGGCTCTAATTATATTGAAAGAAATGGCTTGAATTGTCGCTTATTACTCAGTTCCTTTAAAAAAAAAATGAAAAAGCTCATGAAAAACATTGTTTCAGGATGATAATCGATACCACGAAGACATTTTTGGTATCACACTCCGAACTGCAGAAGTGCAAAGTCAAAGTCGGGAATCTGCGAAGAATCGGTTGGCATCGGCGCAATCTCAATCATAATCTTTAAGTTTTAAAGTTTAGATAACTATAAAATTATAATCTATGTATGTTTAGTGAGTTTAATGGAACATAAGACAGATGTCTGATCGAATGCAATGATCTTAATTCAATGTTCATGGTCTTTTTAAAATTTAGATGCAGATAGAAACATATTTTAAACATTAGTACCTTTATAATGTTGCAGGTACTTGTCTTAATTTAATAAATAATTTTATTTATTTTTATATTTTAATCAAAACACTTAATTTTTAAGATGGATGAATAACTATAACAATTATAAATATAAATTGCATTCAGTCGCAGGTTATAATGACCAAGTGTACGGGATTATATATATGAATAAACTGGATTTTTCACAAAAACATTGTTTTATTTCTCCAAGTAAGCAAATAATTTCAAACCACAAGTATTTAACTTTTCGTTAGATATCAAGGCGTCAACTCTTCTTTCTGACAACGTGGTCGTATATTTCGATCTGGGTGTATTTTGGCGAGTGGACCCGTTGCTTTATAGTGTTCTGTCCGGGTTCTTGAGCGGGGTCAGGGCATATGATCTTGTGGTCATGTCTGTTTTGGAATAACAGGCCACGATCAGGGTCCATGACGGGCTGAAACAAGATGCTTTGAAAGTTGTTTTTCGGTAACCTACGTTACCAGAGCCTTTATAAAAAAAAGCAAGCATTTATAATCCTAATACTTATATACCAATCCTTCTAAATTTCTGGATCTGATTAAGTGCTTTCTTGAGGTATTGTTTTTTTAATGGGGCTGACATGCTCAGTAACGATCATAGCCCCTAAATAAATAAAGAGCAAAAAAAAATACAAACAATAAAATGCTACTGCTACAATGATTGTTTAAAATCATTGTACTACTAGCAATGTCGTGCCATATGTTTGTATCAGGGTCGCTACTCTCGATCTCCGTCCGACATCCGTCCGAAACAATTACTGTCAAATAAAATAATATTCGACAAAATTAAAAGACAAGTATCCAGTACGAAGCTTCATTCGCATCACGCGTCTTTTCATTTGCTCAAGTATTGCTTATTTGGCAGTAATTGTTTTGGACGGATGTCGGACGGAGATCGAGAGTAGACCCCCTGAGACGTATCCAAACGTGTGAAATGTCAATTTCAAAAAGTCACAAACCCTTAAACACTTTGGCAGGAATCACAACAAACTGTTGGTAGACACTATGGTAACCTCCAACCAAATCTACCCACTAAACCCTGGTTTTTTAAACGTCGCGATTTGCCTAAAAACATCACTTCCACTATTATTCGTTTGCGCTTAGGCCATGTTTGCACACCTGTATTTTTGCGTAAAATCAGAGTTCGAGACCACTCTCTGTGCGAGTGCGGCCTAGAAGACGGTACCTTGGAACACATTTTTTTCAATTGTCCTAATATTGCTGTTCCACTTTATAACTTACTTTCTCCAAAATTCCCCCGCCCCATTAACATAAACAACCTCTTAACTTTAGTGTTCTCCCCCCATATTGTTACTCTATGTAAATTTATCCACTTAAATAACATATATTTATAAATATTGTTTTGCTGTTTTGTTTTACATTCTCAACTGAGTACTCCCGTAGTCCAACTTACCAACACCGGTTAATGTCCTATTAGAGCTTAGCGAAAATTTTTTTTTGTTTCGTTTTTTTTCTTTCAACTGTGACATTGGCAAAATCATCAGTTCTCATATTGATGGAGCCATAAAAATAAAAAGTGATAAGGACGCATTTATCCGACACGAATTTCATCGCGCTCACGCCGCGTTGCCGCCGCACAGCGACCGCGTGAATCTACCTGTCATGGCAAACTACGCTTTATTTATTTAGCGTTTACGTTTATGCAGGCGCGAGACTGGCTTGTCTTTGATTTACGCGGCGGCCGCACTGTTGTATTTATTATTCAGAGGAATTTAAATGTTGTTGCCTAGTATATAGAATTCAAATTCGCCATTAATGTACGTGAAAGCGTGGTAACTTAGTGGTCGCCGCGCGGCGGCCGCGCGTAATCTTCGTTGCGTCGTGGGCGCCTAGAGGATGGTAGTCCGTTAGTAGCCAGTTGTGCTTAACAAACCAAATCGTTTTCTCAACAATTTTAAAGAAACAAACTTTAAATTATTATCGTATAACTATTAGATAATTATCACAATATAAATAAATATTCTGGGGAATTTCGAATCTTGACTGGTAACAATTTAAACGGTTATAAGGTCCTGGATCATGCATACAAAAGAACGCTTAGAATTGCTATGACATTAAATAATTATGTATGTATCTACATCCAAAACAAACGACAGAATGTCCGACATTATTTGAACGACGAATAACTATGCAAGAATTCAAGTGAAATTCGGGCTCGCGAGCGTTGTTTTCAAATAACTTCACCGCTCCAACTAAAGACAATACGACGCGCTTTTTATATGAAAATATTTTCATTTCCTGTCAACGTAACGGGGGTATAAAGAGAATAATTCAGAACAGGTTGCAATGTAGTTCTGTCTCTATTCTGAGTCAAATGAAGTTTGTGTCAGTGCTCATGTTTTGAAGTTCTTTAAGTCTTTGTTTTTTTACCTTGGAGGTGCATTGTATATTCCGTTTCAATACCTTTTTAATAGAGAGGGCCATAAACGATTACGGAATAATTGAAATGATTGCAGAGTCACTCAGACGAGTGAAATTAGTAATCACAGTCCGCATTATGAGATGATGAAGTTGTTGACGTTATTAGCAATGCATGGATATTGGCAACTTATCTGAAGTTGATGCAAACCACAGATGATCTGATAGAGTCGTAATTTAGTACTGTGCAAAGAGATATTGTTTTTATTTGGGTTTTAGTTTTTTTTAAATAATAGCAAGTGACGGGACCAACAATTATTGCGCCTGATGGGAAGCTACACGCCTGTCTATAACAGTTGCAGTGCCACTCAGAGCTTTAAATAGCAAAGATTTAAGAGGCACCGCCACTGCGCCCGTCACTCTGAGACATAAGTTGATAAGTCCCATGTGCCCGTGATTTCACCAGCATCCTTACCCTTCAAAACCAGAACACAGTAATGCTGACTGCTTGGCGGCAGAATTAGGTAAGGTTTTCAGTACTACTCTGGACGAGCTCTTTCACAAGGAGCTCCTCTGCTACTCGATACTCTTCTTCTGATACTTCTGTAGTTCTTTAGTAGCGGTCCTAGGGCGCCTTCAAATTAGACGCTTATAAAAGCTGCAGTAGCGCCACAGTAGCGCTGCAGCCGCGTCTCTACTAATTTTCATACAATATTTAGAACCGCCGCTGCAGCCACTGTGGCGCCATATGCGCGCCTCTTTTGCAGACTAGTTATTGTTGAAAACCACGGAAGAAAAAAGCAATGGAAGTGTCTTAAGCCTCAATTACTATCAGAACCGATGTAGCCAAAAATCACACTTTATTTTAAACACTACAAAATCTTGATATTGATTGGTCGTAGTTTCAAATTTAGAAGAAATGACTAATTCTGGATTGTTAATATAATTTACACTTGACCCTGTTGGCATATCCTTGAAAATTCGTTACCATCAGTTAAGTACCTATCATTGCAAGTTATGTTTTGATATTATATTGAAATTTCAATCAATGTGCTGCCATCTAGCGGTTAATTGCTAAACGAATTGGAGTTATTAATTTAGTTCTCCAAAACAGAAGCGACCATATCGCAGGGGCTTTACTTTCGTTTATTGTAACAAAAAAATATTTGGATAAACAGAAAATTGAAAATCTATTAAAATAAGACTTCCCGATACTATGAAAAACCAACACGAGTAATATTTTTGCACTCCAAAACAGCCCAATAAGGGATTTTTCTAGGATTTTAGAGAATTTGCACGTAAAAATGATACAACCATACCATAAAAAGCAAAAATGGCGGACTGTGCTCAGTTCGGTCTTTCAGACCTGTAGTAGGCACATGTCAGATGCTAACTTTCCACTTCTACTGTATTTATTGTTCTGTGTTGAAAACTATTAGTAACGGACTGTAAGTTACGGATTCTTTTTTTATATAAAAATAAGTGCGCATTTGACTTCCATCTCACCCGATACAAAATGATGGATTAAAAAAATGTAGTCTACTAGTAGAAAGCAGTCTATGGTGAAACGAAATTTGAAAAGTTAACGTTATGTACAGACGGCAGCAGTTGCACTTAGTGAACACCTAGACTAGAATCGATTTAAAAAAGTTAATTTCCCAAATAGTTCCTACCGGGAATCGAATCCGGGACCCCCTCATCAGCGCCTACAGTGCAAACCGTTGGGCCACCGAGGTCGTCATAGAGTTATAAAATGTTGTTGATAATGTTAACGTACAATCAACGGCTCATCAAGCACACACTTTTGTTTCAATATAGCCTCCTGTGCAACGGAACAAGATTCATCAATGTATAGCTTGATGTACTGCCATCGATACATGTAATATACCAACTCACAGACAAATGTAATTAAAACGAAATATTGGCTTCCTTATTTTTGCACACTCTGGTCTTGGTGTGCAAGCGAAACTGAATGTGTTTCTCAAATTCACTAGCATACTTAAACTTACACGTGTGTATCTCATTAACTCGTGATAATGTATCTCATTAACTTGTGATAGGGAGCACGAAACGAGCCTCCCCGCAACGACATATTATTCGCGTTTCTTTCACCGATGGCATACAATATGTCCCGCAGTCAGTGCTAGAGCTCGACGGCAAAATTTTGGGTCGCAATAATAACGTATTCTTTGTATATAAGTATAATACAGCTACATATGATCATCGTAAAAAGTGCTTTCATCACAAATTTTTCGTCGACCCGGTGGGAGTTGAATCCACGTCCATGCTGCACCGTAGTATTGCTCTTACCAAGTTACGGGTCTAGTACCGATCCGTCGAAATTGTACTATGTGTTTTTGTTATAGATCTTTGTTACACAGAAACAACTCTATTAGGTTTTGTTATGATTATGTATACAAAGATCGAATACAGATAAATTTTTGTTACACAGAATCTTTAAATCTGTCTTTTTCTTAAAAGATTGTAATTTTGTAGATGTGGTTTTATTACACAAAAGAAAATACACATTTTGAATCTGAGCAATAAAATTTGACCCAAGCACCACAAAGTCATGAAATAACTTCATATTAATTCAATAATAATTTTATGAAAAATATTATTACATATATTTTTAAACCTTTCTCCTGAGACGTTGTCATTTTGTAAAAGTGGCCTTTTTACCTGGCCTGGGGTGTGATATAATGTATGCCGTGGATACGACAAGATGAAGAAATAAAGAAATTTAGTAGAGAGCTCCTTGTGAATGAGTTCGTCCAGGGAAATACTGTCACCTTACCTATTTCTGCCGTCAAGCATGTGAACATTGCTGCGTTTCGGTTTTGAAGGGTAAGGTGCTGGTGATATTACAGGTACATGGACCATGTCAACTTATGTCTCAGGGTGACAGGCCCAATGGCAGTGCCCCTCAAATCTTTGCGATTTATAATTCTGAGTGGCACTGCAACAGTTACGGATAACCATATCGTTTACTACCACGAGAACGACTTGTCCGTCCCATCCCTTGATATCATAAAAAAATAAAATAAGAAGAAGACTCGGTAGAAGTATTGGTACAACAGTCTCCGTTTAATTATGACATTCAAAGCCTGTTACACTTACTTTGTAGTTTCTACTCATATTACTTCTCACAGTTCCGTGTCGCCAATGGTAATATCCCAGGTCGTTGTCCCTCGGCCACAACCTCTTGTTGCCTTTGAAGAAGGGGCCCCAGTTCTCGCTAAGCAACCGATGGGCGTAGTCAATATACCCAGATATTTCAAAACCCCCGCGTGTGAAATGACGGAGAAAGATTATAGTCTGAAAATTAAACAGATTTTTTGCGCTTAATTTACTTCTCAAATCCGTGAGATTTGAGGGTAATACCCATTCAATCAATAAACGAGTTAAAGTAAATACTTTTACATTGGTTATTTTTGGCGAAACCTACCTAAAAATACTTTTTCCCCATTTTTAAAATGTCATAGGTACGTCTAAGGACGCCTTCAAATTAGACGCTTGTAGTAGCACTTCAGTAATTTTTAGTTCACTAAGTGCCATTTTCCACTAGCGACTAGTTTCTTCAGAGTAGCCGGCGCATCAATGGGTAAGGTATACTTATTTCAATAAATAAGAATCGCGCACGGCCAGCCGCCCGCGAATAGCCGCTTAGTGGAAAATGCTTGTAATTGTGACTGCAAAAGTGACGCGTTAGTGACACTGCAACTGCGCTTCCAACACGCGTGTGAAAATTCCATTAAGCGGCTAGTCGTGCGCTTTTAGACCCATTTTACACTAAGCGACTAGTAGCGGGAGGCTGGCCTCGCGCGGTTTCTAATTATACAGATAAGCCATATACCATATCCACTGACGCGACCGCGACTCTGCAGTCATGCTGTCGCTCATTTTAGTTGTGGTACCAACCCGGTATTAGCGGCCTCAGCTTTCATAATAGTTCATCAAAGGATTTTACCGACATCCGTGTGTAATTGAAAAATTTTGTGTCATGTTCTCGTAATTCATTATAGAACCAATAAAATGCACCTTTTGTAGTACGTTCTCTTAACAAGGGATGTATCCAAAATTAAGTTTTCGTTTTCTTTTTGATAATAAGACATGTTATTTCTTCGACGTTCATTTTGTAAATGAGCTGTTTGTAGAATACAGTCGCTATAGAAACTAGCCGTTGCGGCTGCGGTCGTTCGCTGCTATTAGCGTAGTGGAAAACGGCTTTTACTTACCAAAAAAAATTAAGTTATTATATACCACATTCACTGAAGACTCTAGAAGTAAAACTAATTGCTACGGCTGCGATCGCGGCTAGTCGCTTAGTGGACAATGGCAGTTAACGTTGTACGAAAATTAGTAGTAAAACTATGTTGCCACTGCAACGCTTGTATAAGTATCTAATTTGGAAGTGCCCTAACACTTACGTGAATGATACCAACTCTATTAGCTCTCTCTCTGATAGCTAACTCCCTGTTGAAAGGGTCCGAGAGATCTGCTACCTCGCTCACCAGAACGTAAGGCTTGACTGTGGGGAACACCACCTCTCCGATTGCTGCTCGCCGCTTGTAGAACTCCTTTTGAGATAGCGTATCGCCTTTAGCTCTATTAAGATTAACTTGTAAATTTAATACTTCCTCTTGTTTATCGAAACTTACAACATGGTAATTTCTTACTAATTTTTTTCTTACTTTTACGGGTAGGAAAAATTTCATTTATCAAACAATTTATTGTACACAGAATACAATAAGGATACAATTTAATATTATAAAAAGAGCTTTTAGAAAGGCATTAGCGTTTCGGTTATCTATTTTGCTTATAAATCTATAGATTTGTCATATGATTTATAAATCATCCACATAGAATGCCCAGGTGACTATGTTATGTGTATAAAAGTAGTACCTAAATAATAAACTGTAAATTGTTGGCTGTGCGCGTGTTTGTTTATGTGATATAGCATGTGTGCAAAAGTTATGTCCTTAGCTAACACGCGCAAACGTCCCAAAAACATACTGGAGTGAATATTACGTTCAATTTTCATTGAATGAACGCTCATTACAATGAACGCTTACGAAGCACGCTTTGACTTTCGAGTTTATTTACTACCTGTATCCCAATTCAGCGATGGTTCTCGCTGTAGTTATACTTCTGAGGTTCCGCAGGTCAGCGATTTCTATCAAGGAGTCTAGGTAGTCTTCGTAAGTGTCGTAGAAGAGAAGACGACGATCGGCTTCGACACTCGCTGGGGTTTCATTTTTCTTTTCACCCATGATTACTTATTGATCAAAATTTCATTCAAAATTAATAATTATTTATAAAACTTAATCGTTAGAAGCATAATTTTAGGGAGTATACAAAAACTAATAATTCATTTTAAAAATACATAATAAAAGGACGAATGACAGCTAAATATTTTTTTAATTAACTTGGAGTAGACATAGAGTATATAATATGTATATTTAAAAGATATCTATGACAATGGGACCAAATTTATGAACGATTTAGCGAATCGCGCACTGATCATAGAGATGTAAACATGAGTGAATACTCTTAAATAGTTTCTATTGATATTACTTATGATCTTTTTAAATTTTATATACCATATGAATGATTTAAATGTATTTGTAGTTACGATTACAAAAAAGATTTATGCAGACCTCAGAAATCTAAATAAATAGGCATTCATTTAGATTCTTAAGAGGTCACACAGAGGTCAGAGGGGTTATAATTTTGTATATGTATATAGTCTAGATATTAAAGTAGATTTATGTAATAAAACATATATGTATATTCGCCCACACGACCACGTCACGGAAAACGTATGTAGAAAATCCTGCGGCAAGATGGACGGACAAACTAAGAAAGGTGGCCGGCTGCGGCTTGATGCGGGCGGCATAGGACGGGGAGAGTAAGCGTGCTTAGGGGAGGCTTATGTCTAGCAGTGCAGGCGTGTAAACAGATTTTTTATTATAACCAGTGACAGGAGAAAAGTCATGAGCCTGTTGGTAAGCGACACGCCTAACTACGACAGCTGCAGTGCTACTCAGACCTTAGATGGCAAAGTCACCCTGAGACAAAAAGTTGACAAGTCCCATATAGTCTTACTCTTTCACCAGGCGCACGACTTGTTTGTCCCGTGACTTAGTATCATAAAAAACGAACGCAGCAATGCTCACGTTACAGCTTGGTGAAATATTAGACGTGGTGGCAGGACTGGACGAACTCTCACAAGAATCTTTACAGCTTTTTAAAATACACTTTAGATAAAAGATATTTAAAAATATATCCTACCAACAATATAAATACTCGAATAGCATGTATATACACTCTAATACTTCAGGAAACAAACGAGCAGCAATATTGGATTTTTCAAATTAACATTAGCAGTATATTAACCATATCCCGAGAGACTAAATGTGATTTCTCTCAAAGATTTTTCCTTGACGGGAGAGATAAATTTTTGCAAAGTTTCCAACTCATTAGTACAAAGTTTTGGACTAGAAACCGTCTTCCCAAGTGAGTCATTCGTTGTGTATTTGCTTCATAAATAGCTGTAAATAATATTAATGCATGATCAGCTAAAGAGAAACTTAGTAAAGATTACCAAACAAAGTTGGTCAAGGAACAGTGTTGACCAACTCTGCTTGAATGAACCTCGAAGGTATGTTTTTCAATAGATGTATACATCGATGGCTTTCTAGAATATCGACCTATCTTCCAATTACATAATTTAACAGGAAAATGGTTTAAACACAATTGCAGAATATGTAGTAAAAAGTAATATAAAGTAAATATCTATCAAAAATAAACTATTTTGGTTTAGCCACTATAATTGAAACACAGCGATATATAGACAGTTCCAGAGCTCGCATTACAGAGTTGAAAAAAAAAACAATCACGAAAAGTAAATTTGCTTGACGACGAATTTGTTGAATTTAAATCAAAGTTACAGCAAATTGGATGGCGAATCGGTTTAAAGACACGCTTAATGGTCCGTAGGTAATTTTTTCGAGTGTACTCGACTTTGGGTGAAGAGGTGGAGGAGCAATACCGATGTATTTCAGTACGACGAGTACCCATACTTCGGTGATGCGTATTTAGTACGTATTAACACACCAAGTAGTGTTTTTTTTTTTGACAAATTTATGTTCTGTTTATCATTAGAGCCAGATGAAACTGTCACACTGACGTCCACTGACTAAAAAGCGGCTAAGTGTAAGGTAGAAGAAGATAAATAGCGTAAGATAGAACACAAAATTATCTTTTAAAAACAGTTAAAATCAATTAACGTGTTCGACTTAACGGAGCTAACGATGCATAGCTGAAATATCATTGAACAATTTGAATATTAGAATATTTTTAGAACAGTTTTAGAAAACTGGGTCATGGATTTTTATGATTTTTGTCACTTAGCCATATTTTAGATAGCGGACGGCAGCACAAATGCACTAACGTTTAATTTTATTTAATCATTTACTGTACAGGACAACACAATACATATTTAACGAAAGGAAAACGAAAACATAAGGATCTGTTTGTTATAATTATTAATACAAAGATCCGGCTGGATTTGAGCCGGCGACGTCTCCTAGCAAACAGTACCCTTTGTATTAAGAATTATACACAAACTAGTGGAGGAATTTCACAAAAAAATAATTGAATATCAATTAGGTGACGTAATATTTTCATAGATGGCGCTACGGCTAAAAAGTCGTTGAAAACCAATTACAAAAAAAAAAAATTCGTGAGGTCCGCCCATTGACTTACAAATAAATGGACGACGGGTCTAATACAAAAACCACGAAAAAAATGTCCCAAGTCAACCTATTCGAAATTTAAATTGTAATGTCATCGCAGTATCACGCTGTCAGTAGAACAAATGAAGACTAAAGCGGAGTGTCGCGCTCTGTATACGATTTTAGCGCCTTACAAGTGCGGACACTTTTTAGCGCGGATCCGACGTCCATATAATTGTAAGTCAATGGGTCCGCCGGTTCGTTTCGTGGCTTAGCTAGCATAGCGTCTGGCACGGTTAGGAGGCTAGGAGACGTCGGTTCAAATCCGGCCGGATCGAAGGATTTTTTCTCCGATCTTTATATTAATATTTATAACAAACTAGTGGAGTAATTTCACAAAAAAAAATTGAATATCAAGACAATAAAAATATAAGGATCTGTTTTTAAAGAATTTTTTTCCTGCCTTAGTAACAAGACATAATAATTAAAGTAAACGGGCTTACGTGCACAACAAAACAAAAATCTATAACTGAAAGTCAGTATCATAACAATAACATTAAATTATAAACTGCCTCCGTGGCCGAAAGGTGGCCGTGCTGGTTTTCGCAGAAGTCCCGAGTTCAATACACAGACAGGGAGAAATATTTCTAAATGTTTGTTTTGTTTGCAATACAGTGTTTCCCTATTGTGGGGTTATGAGTCTGTGCATCAAAAAAATTATATAAATCCAAAAAGAATAAATCCAGCGGCGATTACTTGTCAGATGAAACCTGAAAACCAGCAATTTGCAGAGGCTTTTACCATGTTTTAGATATAGATTTAAGCAATTATTTCGTGGTTTTGTTGGTATAGCGTCTGCCACGGTATGCTAGAAGACGTCGGTTCGAATACGGTCGGATTGAAAGATTTTTTCTGAGTGTTCGATCTTTGTAGTAATAATTATAACAATTATTTCATTTTAAATGTTTTGTGTTGAAGAATAAAGATTTTTAGTTTTATTTATTTTATTAAAATACTTAGATAGATATATATTTCATTATAATAACTAAGAAATGGATGGAATAGTGGATAAATGCTTTTTAACTCTCATTTTGCTATAATTACGCTATTAGTAATGGGTTTTAGAGCCTACATTCTTTAACTTTTCATTCATTAACTGCCTCCGTAGCCGAACGGTTACCATACCGGACTGCCACGCAGAGGTCCCCGGGTTCGATTCCCGGGCCGGGAGAAATATTTGTATGGCCTACATTTAATTCTCTCGTGAGTTTGGGTGTAATTTGTGGTTGTCTATGTGTGTGTCCATGGCACCCGCGACACAGGGTTTCCCTAGTGCGGGGCTATGTTGAGTGTGTGCGTTATTATTATTATTCACATTATAAGGCACCTGCAATAGTATAATATTGGATATATTAAATTTTACCGAACAAAAAGCACTTTTACATAGATTGGTTGGAATAACGACGTCTGAGTCGATCGCACTCATAAATTAGCGAGAAAGTTTTTGCTTCCACACAAAACTTACTGTCGTCTTCTTAAATTAGTCAGTAATTTTCGTTTTCCTGTAAAAAAAAATTATATTGTACTTTTCAATTAGTGGGAAAGTCTTTGGTTTCTCACACAATTCTTGGTCATAGTATTAATTGAGCGAGGTTTATCACCCTCACATAAATTTTACATTGAACGAGTACAATTGTACTGGACAAGTTGTTTTTATTTGCATTTTTTTTTGCATATTTCACACTCTTGGTTTAATAAGGCCATATCAACAAAGTAACTTTTTAGGAGAGAGATTTAAATACTTCGAACGAAATTAGATTATAATTGTTTGTTCAAAATTTTCACAGATAAATAATTTGTTTCGTGTATTTATAGGAATATGATAAGGCATGATATGATAATGCTAAAATTTTAAAAACACAAGTAACTGCTTTACTTACTTATTTATTTAAAAGTAATAAATTTATTACAATTAATTAATAATAATGTATAAGAAGTAAGGGATTGCTGGACGAGCATGAGTTACAAGGCCGAGTTACTATCTATTACTGTATTTTCGTTATCCCTCTTCTCATTACTAATTACTAACTAATTTTCGCGACAAAAATACAAAAAAGACGAAAAAACAAAAAAATAATACTAAATTACTTTATTTATCGCCTATTTATTTTTTTTTAAATGTAAACGATACATGTAGGTACTTTTTACGATCACGATGCGCAGTTGGCTGTATGAGTTTTTCGTTTGCCAGTTTACATGCTTAATTGTGAGCTTTTTTATGCTCTAAGATGGCTCTAAGGCTTTTTTATCCATCCTCAAAGTTTTCAGATAGATATAAAAGTGGAACAGTGCATATTGGATTTCCATACTTTGCAGGCATTGGCCGGAAAGAAGTCGCACAGTCTATAAATGACAAAAATTCCGTGTTCATTTTTTGAAAGTAATGCAAACATTTTCGAGCATGTTTGAGGAAAAAAAATATAATCGCTACATATTTCGTAATGTTTCATGATTTTCATGTAATAAAGACACTTTTCACATATGATCACATGTTGCCTTATTATTATTTATTATCATGTATACGAACACTCACACTCGCATTAATTTCTT